GAGAGCAGAGAGCAGAGAGAGAGAGCAGAGAGAGAGAGAGCAGAGAGAGAGAGAGCAGAGAGAGAGAGAGAGCAGAGAGAGAGAGAGCAGAGAGAGAGAGAGCAGAGAGAGAGAGCAGAGAGAGAGAGCAGAGAGAGAGAGAGCAGAGAGAGAGAGAGAGCAGAGAGAGAGAGAGCAGAGAGAGAGAGAGCAGAGAGAGAGAGAGAGCAGAGAGAGAGAGAGAGAGAAGAGAGAGAGAGAGAGAGAGAGCAGAGAGAGAGAGAGCAGAGAGAGAGAGAGCAGAGAGAGAGAGAGAGAGAGAGGAGAGGAGAGAGCAGAGAGGAGAGAGAGAGCAGAGAGAGAGAGAGCAGAGAGAGAGAGAGAGAGAGAGAGGAGAGAGAGAGAGAGAGAAGAGAGAGACAGAGAGAGAGAGACAGAGAGAGAGAGACAGAGAGAGAGAGCGAGGGCGAGAGAGACACCCCTCCCACCAACAGGGCATAAGTACCACACAAAACATACTGATGCACACCAGTCGAGTGTTGTCATGTTTGTCCCAATGCCTGGGAAGACACGCACACACAGACACAGGCGGCGGCACCTCGCCCAAAGTACACTGTGTGTAACCGCTCGTGAACTCAGGCTTCCCTACCGGCAGACTCCGTACAATGCTCTTGTCACTGGTCTCTCTTGCACTCCTAGGGCTTTCCGTGAGGGTGCGAGGAAGACAGAGCGACAAAACACTTGTTCGTTTCATGCCAGAGGGCTGACCGTTGACCCGAAGCTACGTCGGGCAAAGAGTGGTAGAAAACAATTTACGAAATTAAGACTTTTAGCCACGTTTGTCTCAACTCAAACGGAACAATATGCGAAGCTCAGAGTTACTACATCATCATCAGCGCTGTTAGGCCTCAGCAGACCTCTAGCGCTCGAGTAAGCAGCTACTGTAAGCGAAGGACTCAGACTGCAAACCTCAAATGCAGGCAGAGTCCCGCCCGCAGCAACTACCCTCTACTTGGGGGGTATGAGGACAACCTCCACAGACCGTGGAAGCAGGACTCATCCTAAATTGATGAAAGTGAGGTTTGTTGCCCTTTGACCCTTGGAAGCCTGTAGACTAATTCCGAGAGTTGTTTTCGTGGCTGTCACTCTCGCACCTGTACGGGGGGGACGCCCCACGGGTGCGAGAGAGACAGGGCGACTCTCAGTCTGCGCAGCGTTCGCAGCAACAGTCGCGTGCCGCTGACTCACGCGCAATCACGCCGCCGGGGGCAGGGCATAAGTTAGTAGCCAGCAGATTCCAGTGGCGGATCCAGAGGCGGCTTATGGGGGGGAAGTCGCACTTTTCGCCTACTTACAGGGGCAAAGTAGCACTCTTTGCCTACCTTTCAGGCGGCTATCCAGGGGCTGGGGGCAAAAACCCCATCCGCCCCCCCCCTATCCGCGCCTGGCAGATTCCGAGAGTAGTTTTCATCGCTGTCTCTCTTACACCTATACGGGGCGCCCCATGAGCGCAAGAGAGACACAACGACGAAGACCACTTTCGGAATCCGGCTGCAGGTAAACGGTGTCGTTGCTTCCGAGGTGGACAACCACACAAGGGACCGACCCAAAACTCGAAGTCGGAGCTTAGGTCCGGCCGGCGTAGGAACGAGTTGTGTGGAGCAGCGCACTTCACGCCCATAGGCACGGCATAGGCACGGCATGCAAAATAGGCAAGCCGGGGCAGAAAACAGAAAGGTCGTCGGGTCGATAATCGACCCCCTTATCGACCCTCTAATCGACCCCCTGGGCTGCCATGCGCTGCCATGGGCACAGGCCAGGCGAGGCGCTCCACAGTGGGCCAGAAGACCGGTGGAGGCGGCCAAAACTCTCGACGCGTTTTGAGCTCCAGAGTCGCTAAATGGGACTCGAACCGAACGTGTGACTCCACCAATGGATTGCTCTCCGAACGAGGAATCCATTGGTGGGGTCACACGTTCGGTTCGAGTCCCATTTAGCGACTCTGGAGCTCAAAACGCGTCCAGAGTTTTGGCCGCCTCCAGTCTTCTGGCCCACTGTGCGCTCTGCTTCGGCAGTGGATTGAAGCAGGCGCGGATCCAGAAGGGAAGAAAAGAGGGGCATAAGGATGTATCCTAATACATTATAATGTACCACTCTCCTGGGCCTATTGCCCCTGGAGGCTAGGGAAAGGGCCCCACTCAGCCCCTGTGAGTAGGCAAACAGTGCTACTAACTCGCCCCTCCCTCGGCAGGCCGGCCCTTGATCCGCCACTGGATTGAAGGCAAGACGCAGGACGCGGGGCGAGCACGCGACCATTTTGCTTGCCTCTTCGATGTCAAAGCCTAAAGGCTAATTTTCCTACCAGGGATGTCTTCCGATGTCTTCAAACCAGTGGATGACACTGTAGTCACGTGGATGCAACAGTGGCGGATCCAGAGTCGGCCCAGGGGGGGGGGGGCAAAGTAGCACTTTTTGCCTACTTACAGGGGCAAATTGGTGCTTTTTGCCTACCTTTCAGGCGGCTGTCTAGGAGTCAGGGGGGGGGGGGACAATTGTCCTTTTGCCCCCCCCCCCTCCCTGGATCCGCGCTTGGGATGCAACAAATACTGGGAGCTCTCATGAAAATATAAATTCGCGATGGAAACGTCATGCACGTTTGCAACACAAATTTGCAGTACAGGCTGCTGATCATCCCACTCAGTATTTCATCGCTCTGTCTCTCTCGCACCCACAGGAAATGCCCGTATGAGTGCGAGAGAGACAGAGCGACGAAAACGACTCTCGGAATCAGTCTGCGGTGCAGTAGCGGACGAACCCGCGACGATCCGCGGCGCACGCGGCCAGACAATGGTCCTCGGCCGCCCCGGCCCGCCTCGATTAAATTCCCGACGCGTCTGCGGCGTCACAGCTGGGGCACTGCAAGATCGCAGGCCGTTGCAGTGTACTGGCCGGACCGCCTCTCCGCGGAAACGCAGCCAAGGGGTCTCTCTCTGCAGTCTGATTCCGAGAGTCGTTTTCGTCATTCTGTCTCTCTCGCCTGGGGTCGGCGACGACTGCAAGGGTTTTTAGACCTTCAATGGTTTTTAGACCTTCAATAGACTCTATTCCACCCTCGGCCGTTTTCAAACAGCCCATTTGGGGCCCAGCCACAGCCACTGACGCCCAGCGCCTAGCAGATTGATCGCGGTCGTCGGCCTCTCTCTCTCGCACCGGTACGGCGCGCCCCATGAGTGCGAGAGAGAGGCCTCCCAGTCGGCATCGGTCCACAGCCTCCAACCCCACGCGACGCCCACTCGGCCCTCGCCCCCGCCGTCTCCGTGGCAACCCGTTTCGAACCGGTCCCATGACCGGCCGAGCCCTGCAGGGCTGGTGCCACCATGGTGCCACCTGCGCCGCGGCGTCCCTTCGCCCACGCCTGTTGACTAGGACGCCAGGCGGCCAGCGCTGTCTCTCTCGCACCGATGCGGGACGCCCCTTGAGTGCGAGAGAGACAGAGCGACGACAGCGCTGTGCGGAGTTAGGCGGCCATAAGGTCCTTATCACAGCCTGGCAGCAGTGCTGGAGCACCTCCTTCCCCCCCTCCCCCCCCCTCCCCGCCTGCAACACACCCGGCTGCACTCCGCCCACTGCTTCTCGATAAAGCGCAAATTCCCATTTCCCACATGGGCTGTCACCAAGGCTGCCACAATGCCGTCCGCATTGCACAACATTGCTACGGTTTCCCCCAACCCAACAGCTCTGTCGTCAACATTACATCTCCGCAGTCACTTTTCAGTTTTCACATTGTAGCACTGGATTGACATGACAACTTAAATTCAAATAGGTCCTCGGGGAAAATTTCAACCAGCCCGCACCCCTGCCATAATCCCAAAGATATATTTATTGATTGGAGTATTAACGAACGCTCTACAGAGATCAGATCATGTGAGAGAACGATAGTCCAAAACTTATTATGACAAGGCACATTTGGGGTGGCAACTACGTGCACTTTGTACACTGGGAAATGAAGGACCTGTTTTTTTAGCTTCACAACTAGGCGCAAAGTGTTTCATCTTATGAAAGATACATTGTAAATCACAATGCAATCCGTTTAAGGGGATAATTTCTTTGCTCTTTTTATCAGTATGATGGATGTGCTGAGCAGATAAAGGGACCTTGCTCTTGTCATTTTAAGCATGGATTAATTGACACACCCTAAATCAAAAAGAGAACAGAACTTACACTCATGTGTGACTACTATTTATTTTACCTGTCATGAAGCAGGAAGCAAAGTCATTTTTTCTGTTCAAATCATATTGACTGCGTAAGAATTTGCTACCAAATACAACTCTGAAGTGTGACAAGGCTTGACTGAAAAGTACTGTGGCTTAACATACTTTATAACATGAGTCCCAAGCACTGAAATTTCAACTTTCCTTCCCGGAGCATTACATAGAATGTTCTAGAAAGTCCTACGGAATTTTAAGTTTCACTAAAAAGCAAAGTCTGCAGTATGGCAAAACACCATTGTGGTGAAGTTTAGATTGGATACCAGTCGTGGCGAAAAGGATGCGAAATGACATCAAGAAAAAGATAAAATAGGAAATAAAAATTTTAAATATTCTGAAAGTAAGGTTAGTCTATGGTGGATGAATCCTTCCAATTTTAGAAATGACATTTTTCTTTCACCTCAGAAACCGCAATAAATGTACAAAGGAAGTCATAGAAAAACGCTCAATTGAAATAAAATTCTATTCCTAAGACGTGACAACGCCCAAAAAAGGACCTCAGCCAAAACAAAACAAAGGACCTGTCAATCATTCCGCATCTTTGCCAACGACAACGTCATCCCGCTACCTTCAGAACTCAAAAAGGCCCGTTCGTCACCCAAATATACGTAAACTGCCCCCCAGAAAGACCCCTGGCAGACGACAAGGCAGTCCGGTCGCGAAAACGCGAGTCAAAACAAAGCAGCCGCTCGCGTCCTGCCTGGCCTAGCCTGGCCTAGCCTGGCCGCGACCAGGTCAGGTTATGTTACCCACCTCCGTGCTTCATGTTGGCGCCCGTCTCGATGGGGATCACGAGCAGCGGCAGCACGCCGCTCAGCCCCACGACCACCGAGCCGATGGCCGACAGCAGCCAGGGGTGGTACTCCATCTGCGGCAGCAGCAGCGACACCTCCAGGAACAGCCTCCTGTACAGTGTGTCGGCCGTCGTCACGTTGGCCCAGTCCCAGTCCCCGACGCAGGACGACGAGTCCGCCTGGTTCACGTTCATGGTGGAGCACATGGGGGCCTTGGAGGCGGGCAGGACACTGGCAGGCACCGCAGCACGGCCGAGTCACACACGCGCGCACACGCACAGTCACCACATGGAGCTGACACGGCGCGGGGGACGAGCACCGAAAGGGCGTAGGGCTTCGGGGGACGGCCACTGCCTACACTCCGTCGTCGAGGAGAACACACTGATTCCGCCCCGTGATGGAGGTAGCAGCTCCCTCTGCACTCCGCTATCGACGCGCTCAGGCGCAATCTAGCCGCGGATCAATCGCGAGCTGCTTATCCATCTAGAGTCGAGTGGCGCCGCCAGGCAAGACACAGCCACAAAGTGTAGCTGTCGCGAACAGAGTCACTGATTCACGGACGAAACGAAACGAAACGACGCGCCCGCCGAGCTCCGCCAGACTGTCCCGAGTTTTGTTTACAAGTCGTCCCGCGCCAGCCAGCACAGGCACCGACTTGCCCGCTCCCCCTCTCCCCCGCCCCCTCCCGCACCGCGGCGCACGGCGCACGCGACGTTGCCACCACCACGGCGGCAAAGTTTCCGGCCGACGCGCGGAAGGGAGGCCGTCGGGGTGGTCTCCGCGTCCTCCCGGGGGTGGCCGGGGCGCGCGGCGCGGTGGCGGCGGCACGCGCGACGTGGCCGAGCACCTCGAGGGCCGTCCCAGCGAGCGGCCGCGCCGACGGGGGCCTCGGCGCCGGAAGGTTGGCAACGCGAGGCCGCCGTCCTGCGCAGTTAGCAGAAGCCTTCGCCGCTTTGCTGCGGGAAACTGCGACTCGCAGCCGGCAACCCAGCCGGCGTGGTTTATTTTCGAGGTTTGATTCACACGACCCTCTCGCAGGTCATGAGGTAATGACACTGGCAATGACCGACTGTGTCGCCATGTGGCGAAAGTCTCACGGTTGACCAGGGGGACGTCTCGCCTGGGGGTAGCCCCGCCCGGGTGGAGTGGAGTGGAGGGAGGGACGAAAGGGAAAGGGGCCCAACAGTCCTGGTAAAGATGGGCATCTTATTATGCAATATGCAGATGAGACTGATGCAGTCATCCTGAAGATGGATCGACAAAGAGACCAGGTTGCTCACTCTCCCTCCCCCTCCCGCCGCCGATTTGCCCCGGTTGCCTTCCCCCAGGAGGGGCTTGGGTCGGGTGCGAACCCGTGAGAGTCAAAGTCAAATGCCCCTTTTGTAAAGGTGTATGAAGCCTGTACGTTCACTCTCTCTAGAGCAAGTTTGGATGCACACTTTACCTCGGGGGCGAGCCTGATCCGGCCTGATCTCATGGCAAGCAGAACGTACTCCATCAACCGTGTACTGTACGAGTTTACAGCGTTTGCGGCAGCCATACTCCAGGTGGTATGTATACACTCTTGCCTGCCTACCGAACAGCAGCCCAACAGGAGCCTCTGAGTTTCTTCAGCACAGCAAGACCGTTTCACGGGCTTCACGTTTAGTGACTTCCCCTGTGCACAACAGAGATTGCGAAGAGCAGCCTCCGAACATGTAATCCGGAAACAACACGAAGGCATGTTTTCCGACGACGATAGGCATGAGTTGCGCGCTGCTTGGGGGAATGCACAGGACTTCTCAGAAGCGTCCCGTCCAGGGTCGGGGTCTTCGCTTTTCCTCAAGCAAGCCAAAACAAGCACGGCGAGGCCCCCTCCTACTAAGAAGGTCTCGCCGACACATGACTGGCAGGGTTCTGTGTGGCGGATCCAGAGCCGGCGTGAAAAGGGGGAGACAAAGTAGCACTTTTTGTCTAGTGACAGAGGCAAAGTGTGGATTTTCTGGCCTTGCAGCTTTCCACCGGGGGGAAGGGGGAGGGGGGTACTTCTGATTCCTGAACTCAACCCAGGGAGCGTCCGCAAATTCACTAAATCTGGGGCCCCAAGGAGCAATAGGGTTGGTCTACTGTCTTACCTTCACCGGATAGGAACTGGTTTCGAATGCAGTCTTTTCTGTCGGGACAGACGGCCGAACCCCTCGGCACCGTGTAAAGATGGAGAAGATGTCATTCTGCAGCAGCAACAACAACAAGACTAAAGAGAAACAGGTTTGCCTGATGCGGTACGATGCCAAAGTGGTGCGATCGTTTCGGGGAAACGTTACGAGATGAGCTATTCCAATCCCCGATTTGCATGTATCCAAGGCCAAGGCTATTCCTCCCGGTCCCGTCCGCGATGCAGGTACACCAAAACAGGTCGCTTTTACGCCGCGCTTTTCGAAGGTGAAACAAAAGGCATGGAAACTATGCCCTTGAAGGGCGCAAACGATGCACGCCTTTTGATCGGCGTGAATCATTTCATCTTCAAAAGGGCGCGAATAGTAAAGACTTCTAAGAGAAATTTTAATGCCCTTTTTATGATTTTTCGAAGGCATCATCCCATAGTGGACGTGAAGGACTGCACGCCCTGTTTTCGCTTGTTTTCGCCTGTTTTATCCATGTTTGTGCACCGCAATCGCCAGAGACGTGCCGACGGTTGCGGTGCGCTACTGCTCTGGAGAAAGTGCGTTCTGCGTTACTGCAACGTGACCATGCGTCTTGGCCACGTTTTTCGAAAATGCAAAGTCACCAACACCACGTTTTGGGACCAGTGACGGTTTCACAACCTTCGGTCTACACTTTGTATGCCAACAAACACTGCCCGCTCGCTCATCGCAAGGCGATACACGAGTTGCCGGGCGTGGGAACGTTGAAGTGTTGCCGGGTTTCACGCGAAAACCGCCACTGTATGAGTCGTGATTTCGGTCGATTGCTTCCTTCCATCGCAGCTGGTTCGTGGTTTCGTTTCGAGTTGCGGGTTTCGTTTTGGGTTTCTTGTTCATGTTGGGCTCTTGAAACGCTGAGGCAGTAGAGCGTCATTGCCTGGAACCGCTAGCTTGCGCCAATCGCGAGGGGGTAAACACTCCAAGAAATTGTGTACACTCTAAAAAAAATCAGTACAGAATTTTGTAACATGGTTACGCAGCTTTTTCAATAACATGTGTTACAGAAATTTGTATCACGATGGATACAATTTTTTTCTTTGTAACTTGGTTACAGAATTTCGTAACGGTTACAAAATTTGTAAACAGTCGTTATTCTTCCAAATCAAGCTTCAAAATGAGAATTTTGTTCGAACGTAGTCTCCGTGGGTCTCATTGAAGGTCCTTATGCCATCCTTCGAGTCACAACTTTCCCAGATGAACTCTGAGAAGTCGGGAATCGAACCCCAAACTCTGGGTTGACGGCCCGCCACGCTACCAACTGCGCTGTGCGGACGCCGTGGAGGGAGCGGCGCAGGTAGCCGGTGACCTGAGGCGCGCGTGGTAAGGGACGGAGGCCTTGCCAGCCAAGCATACACGAGACTGAATCTCTTATTCAGAGTCGGGAAAAATAAAAGCACATGAAAACTCTAAGTTTAACTTGTCTCTATGGGCACTGCTGTTCAATTTTGCCGTTAAAACATTATGTTTTAATCTCTGATACAGAATTTAGTATCCAGTTACAATTTTCTGTATCAGTTATGTTACAAACATAATATTGTAACCTTCATGTAACAAATTTCTGTATCAAGCTCCAAAATGATTCATTTTTCTGTAACCGGCACATCTGCTACAAAATTCTGTATCACTTATACAAATATTTGTAACCAATGCAGGTGATACAAAATCCTGCATCAAAAATGATACAAAATTCTGTAACTTTTTTTAGAGTGTACGGAGTACTCGGTATATTACGCGGTATTACGGGTGCATTACACGTGTATTACGGCATTAAAAAGCCGAAATTTGGCTCATTTGGCCCAAAAATTGTATTACAATTACGTTTATTCGCGTAATACACGGTTTTTGTGTGCAGGGTTACACGAGTGCTTACCCCCTCGGCCAATCGCCCTTCTCGTTTCAAAGAAAAGCAGCGTCGTGTTTTCTGTGCGGGAAAACCCTGAAAACGAGTGCAGCCACACAGGAGCGGCACATCGTGCCCCCGACACTCCCGGCCGGGGATTGCATCGGCCGGGCGATTCTGAAGAGTCGTTTCCGTCTCTGTCGCACTCACGGGGCTATCCACAATGGTGCGACAGAGCGACAGACCGATCTTCTGACTGGCGGTCTGGCAGTACGGTTCCGCCCCGCCTCACTCACACTCGCTCACCGTAGCATTTCCTCGAGGCCGAAGACGATTCGCGATGCACTGGAAATTTGGATCGGCCCGTGGGGGGCGCACCGCCCCTAGGCCGTCTTCTCCACCAGCTCCTCTATCGAAATGAAGGAAAAATAAAAGCGCCAGGACCGGCGCTTCCTGAAACAATGGCCTGGAAGTTTCCTAGACGACAGTGCTCAACTTCGTCTCCTGGCTGTTTCGTCATGCCGGACTTGCCGTTAAGGATGCAATATTGCTGAGAATCCCAGGGGATTTTTTCCGGAAATTGATCGATAGGAATCCCAGGAAGTATCACTGCGTAGTTCGATCGTTGATCCATATTCAAACTATCATGGCGACATCACAGTCGCTGAAAGACAATGTGACAAAAGTCTTCGTTGGCTATACCTTTTTGGAGACAACTTTAGGCAAAAATGGATTTGTCTGAAAGTTAGCAGTCTCTGCTACACGGTAAAAACGGTTCCTGGTTTTCCCAGGAACTCCCTGGAAATCGCTTATGTCCTCTATAGGCTCCCTGGGAAAACCAGGGTCAGTTTTCACCGTGCAGAGGACGCTGCTGCTGCAACCCCTCTGCAAACTGAAGTGTGTACATAGTACACTCTTATTAGAGCATACTTCCAAGTACACTCTTATTTACAGCATACTTGCTAGGCACACGCTAAAAAAGAGTGTGCCTGGCAAGTACACGCCAAATAAGTGTGTACCTTCCATGTACACGCTAAAATACACTCGATAAGTCCTATCTAAAAGCATGGGCCAGTTTAAGTGTACTTGCCAGGTACACTCTTATTTAGCGTGTACATGCAATGTACACTCTATTTTAGTGTGTACCTAGCAAGTATGCTGTAAATAAGTGTGTACTTGGAAGTATGCTCTAATAAGAGTGTACTATGTACACACTTCAGTTTGCAGAGCCTCTCTGACCCAAGCATTCCCTGACCGTCCGTTTGTCTGTGTGTCTGGCCGCTCTCTCGCACCCTCGGCTGCACGGCTGTCCCACTCTCACTTGTTGATCCTTTGATGCCTGGTGGGAAGGGGACAGACTGAGGGCCCCTTCCTTCCCCTCAGCCACCCTGTTGCTGTGCGGTCGCCAAGATCGCAAAGCGGCTGCTAGGACGCGAGGCTGGCCAGCAGACTGATTCCGAGAGTCGTTTTCGTCTCTCTGTCTCCCTCGCACTCATGGGGTTTCCCGTAGCGGTGCGAGAGAGACAGAGCGACCAAAACGACTGGCGGAATCAGTCTGCATGGGTGTCCGCGCGCCGTCGGGCAGGCAGCCCGCCCCACCGACCCGCCC